AGTCTTAGATTCATTTGGACAAAATACAACCACCATGTATGACGATGAACCTTCATAGTTACTCAAAATACAATTCGACACCACCTCAATAATTCATTCATACTATCTCAATCAACACGCACCCAAGGATTGTCTATAGACGCAATGATGCCAAACCCTACAAACAGTTGCGTTGGCTCATTGCACATAGCATGATGTCAAGTTTTGTATAAAGAATACCATCCATAACTATTGGCAAAAATGAGGGTCAACTGAAATGACGATGATTGCTAATTGTGCATTTGAGGCCTTCAAACATACAAGAATGGTTTATCTATAACCCTAGCAGATTGAAACAACTATACATATGAANCATACAAGAATGGTTTATCTATAACCCTAGCAGATTGAAACAACTATACATATGAATGAGGCATGATATCTAACAAGGCCACACAAACTAATCTGCTCATCAAGAACCAAATAAATAGAGACAACTAGTCTATGATTGCTAGTTTAAAACACAAAAACAATTGCTAGTTTATGAGCACTTGGTGGAGNCTAGTCTATGATTGCTAGTTTAAAACACAAAAACAATTGCTAGTTTATGAGCACTTGGTGGAGCTCAGATAAGATTTTCATTTGTTGAGCTCTTTTAATCATGTATAATTAGCGGTATATTTACTAATCCAAGGGATCAAGGACACAAAAATACATTCTAGGGAAAAAAAGGGTGAGACTATTCCCACCGACAAATCTCCATTTTCATCTCACAAATCTTCATTCTCATTCCATTTAATTTCTCATTCTCAAATTACTAAGTTCACCCCTTCTATACTCACCCCATTAGTAACAAGTCCACCACATGCTTCATATATCCCATTAATAGTTAGAGTAACGTTATTGAAACTTAAAAATCTGACATATATAATTTACTGATTTAATTCATTGTGATTTTTGAATTGACTCTACACCCCATTAAACATTGAAATTTTGTGTTGATCCAACGATTCCTATGAAGTCACATTATTATGTTAGCAAATTAGGTTAAATTTTTAAGTCCAAATAGTATTCCTCATATAGCAAATTAGCTCACTCATTCTATATACACTCCTTTAATGAAAAAAGTCATCATAAGAAAAAAATAATAAAAAAAGACAATTAATTTGAATGCATAAATTTATTACGAAACAAGAAAAAAAGAAAAGAACGAAACAAGAAAAAAGAAATGAAAAAAGAAGCAAACTGAAATAAGGAAAAATAAAAGAACGAAATAAGGAAAAAAAATAAAAAAGAAAGAAACAAACCCGAACAAGAAGAGAAAAAAAATAAGCAAAAATTACACTTAAACTATCTAATAAACCACATATATATAATATAGTAGAACGAATTTGAATTTTGGAGATAAAGAGTGGTCTATATCGTTTCGTGATAANAAAAAAATAAGCAAAAATTACACTTAAACTATCTAATAAACCACATATATATAATAAAGTAGAACGAATTTGAATTTTGAAGATAAAGAGTGGTCTATATCGTTTCGTGATCAAAAAAATATCATATAACGTACGACATTATCTCAAACTGTCTTAAGCTATTGACATCTCAGATCGTTTCGATCTGACATATCATATTAACTCTTTTAAAATATTTTTGCTGCTCCAAATTTATAGTTTCCAAAATTGATATTCCAAAATTTAATTCCCCCAAATCTTTTTCTTAAATCAAGCAAATCTCTCTCTCTCTCTCTCATTCCTCTATCTATCTATCTATCTCTCTCTCACGCTCAATTCATGCTACAAGTATCAATTTTTCACCATATTTTCTTCTGTATCTCACGAAAATATTAGTTAGTGTATGATTTAAGCAAATATTACANATATTTTTGCTGCTCCAAATTTATAGTTTCCAAAATTGATATTCCAAAATTTAATTTTCCCAAATCTTTTTCTTAAATTAAGCAAATCTCTCTCTCTCATTCCTCTATCTATCTATCTATCTCTTTCTCACGCTCAATTCTTGCTAAAAGTATCAATTTTTCACCATATTTTCTTCTGTATCTCACGAAAATATTAGTTAGTGTATGATTTAAGTAAATATTATANCTCTCTCTCTCTCTCATTCCTCTATCTATCTATCTATCTCTCTCTCACGCTCAATTCATGCTACAAGTATCAATTTTTCACCATATTTTCTTCTGTATCTCACGAAAATATTAGTTAGTGTATGATTTAAGCAAATATTACATCTCTCTGTAGATAGATAATATATATCACAGAGAAAGATAATATATTATAAAAATATTCCTCTATATCTCTCTATAAAGGAAAATTATGTAATAAATATTAGATAAATAATATATATCATGAAAATATTCTTCTGTATCTCTCTCTTTCATTCAAGTAATACTACAAACACGAATCATACAAATTCAATAGTCCATTTTATTTTTTTCATAATCAATAAAAAAATGTATAATTNTCAAGTAATACTACAAACACGAATCATACAAATTCAATAGTCCATTTTATTTTTTTTATAATCAATAAAAAAATGTATAATTTACAAAAAAATCTAATTTAACAAAGAAAATATGCTTAACATGTAAAATATACAAAATTAAATTCAAGTTATTAAGCAATTCAGATATCAAGAGATATAGTAAATAAAATATGTTTAACATTTAAAATATAAANTAAAATATACAAAATTAAATTCAAGTTATTAAGCAATTCAGATATCAAGAGATATAGTAAATAAAATATGCTTAACATTTAAAATATACAAAATTAAATTCATATACAAACACGAATCATACAAATTCAATATTTAGTGAACAACACAAAGTAATAATATTTACTAAATAATCTAAATTTAAATACTCGAGAAAAATGATACAAAATTACAAGTGAGAGACGATACAAAATTATAAGCAATACTATGAACACGAATTATACAAATTCAATATTTAGTGAATAACACGAAACAACAATCTTTACTAAATAACGTTTAGTTTAAGAAAATATACTAAAAATATAAATAATCGAGAAGAATGATATAAAATTAAAATAACTACTATAAACTCGAATCATACAAATTCAATAGTCAGATCGTATCTTTGGAAGTCAGTTGAATTTCTAATAGTTATATTTGATCATTTGACAATATCTACAGACTTAGTTTATTTGTGGGAGTATTGTTTTAATTTTCATTCTATTAGTTATGAATTTTGTTATCATTTAGATAAAATTGATTATAAATGTTAAAATCGTGAATTTTAAATCAAATACAGATCATTGAATATTGTCAACTGATATATTTTTTCAAATGTTTGAATTACTATGTTTCAGTAGTTACAACATAATTTTCATGGCGTAACAATGAAAATATAATATATGTCATGCATGTATATAATTTTAATGTGGAAATATATATCATGCATGTAGGCTGATGTTATAAAAAATATTAGCAAATTTATTTTGTTCATCGTTTGTTACAATGTTATATTTTACTTTACATTTATATATGAACAAATATTTGTAATTAATTTACGACTAACATCGTGCCTTCAGTCACGAGAAACTATTAGTATTCAATAAAATATTTGACAAACACGAGTCAGTTCAGATACAACATGGAGAAAGATTCAAATACAAACCGATAACAAATACGACATCTTTTTGCAAAGAAGCTAACTGGCCAAGTTCAACCAACATCTTCTATGAAGATCATATCCAACGTTATTCTTGTCCCATTAAGGATCTATTGTTGAAGGAAGCATTAGAGGTTCGAGTGTGAACACAAAAAAAAAATAAATCANGAAGATCACATCCAACGTTATTCTTGTCCCAGTAAGGATCTATTGTTGAAGGAAGCATTAGAGGTTCGAGTGTGAACACAAAAAAATAAAATAATAAATCAATCAATTTCGTACTTTTGCCTTTCAGACAGATTAGCCAACAACCATGCCGTGATAAGAATTTGAACAAGCAACCACAAGATTGTGGGTTGCTAGACGTTTTGTTGTGAACAATGTCAAATGTTAAATTTATATTATCTCTTTCTCGCTCAACACTCTGATTAATAAGCACCTATTGGATGGTAATAAATATCAATTTTTTTTTTTAGGGTTAAAGTATTTATTTTTTGTTATTTTAGTCCTTAATGTATCGATTTAATCCCTAAAGTATCCAATTCGTGTTATTTTGATCATCATATAGATAGGCCCATTAAGTTTTTTGATAGAAGTGATCATATGTTATTTTTTCAAACAGTATTATTTGTCCAGCACGTGATCATTTTGTCAAAAACTTAACGATTTATCTATCCAGGAGCCAAAATGACACAAATTAAATAATTTGGAGACCAAATTAACAAAATTGATATATTGAAGATTAAATTGACAAAAAAAAATGCATACTTTAAATACTAAAAGTTCTATTATCCCTTTTTTTTTAATGTAGTTTAATGGTTAGGGTATTTAGGTCAATTTATGCCCACCTCGATTATTCTCTTTCTTAGTTCGGTCAAAGACAAGTCATCCATATTGAAACTAGGATATTTATGACGGATAAATTGTTTATGGCCTGACCCTAAAAATTGCCAAAATTTAAACTCATGACGTGTGAATTTATAACTCATCCCTATTATTATTTAAACTATCATCGGAGTTGTAATAAATATAATTTTCATTAATTTGATTGCAATGATTCTGTCATGCATAATCAATTCTGCCAAGAGTAATCAGCTTTGTGGTCACGGCACACTCTCTCTCTCTCCCCAATAGAGATTCCAATCAAATTAAAATAACACCATGGAGCAAAATTATTAGGAGACATACCAATCAGTACAGCTACATTGAAAATAGCGCAAATCAACATCTTACTACAGTGACTCTAGGACGGCAAGGACAGGTTCATGCACGGCCTTTTATTCCCACATGAGGAGCGAGCCATATGAAGAAGAAGAAGAAGCCAACATTAATAACCTCTCATTAACTCTGAAGATCAGGGCAATTACTTATGGGAGTGAAAGTCAGTAAGTTGAGAACGATCGTGGGACTAAAGGGTATCATGAGAATACGGGAACGGGATGCTCCATTGACACCAAAAGGCTATATTCCGATTTCAGTTGGTTTGAATGATGAGAACAAACGGTTTATGGTTCACACGGCAGCCCTCAGGGACGCAGATTTCTTGGAGCTTTTGTGTGTTTCAGCTGAAGAATATGGTTTCTGTAATGAAGGCATTCTCAAGATTCGATATGAAGCTAAAGCTTTCGAGGATTGGTTGGTTAAAGGTGCCAAGCAGAAAGTGTTTAGGGTCGTCAGACCAACCTAGGCCTTTGTTCCATGGATTACTAGCTACTAGTATACTAATTAGTTGTTTAGTGGTTTTAAATCTTTCCTTCCGTTGGCAGTTTTTTTTCATTTTTCTTCTTCCCCGAATGTACGGGGACATTTAGATGTGTAAATAGAAAGATATGGAATATTGTTTGATTCTTATTTTTATCCATCAATGATTTTAACAAGTGGATGGTGGGCGGGTGGACCTTGGCGTAACAAAAAGATTGCTTCATTTTGATTTAGAGGTCATAAATTTGAATTGTAAAAATTATCTCTGCTTACAAGCGTATAACTGTGCACATCTAACCCTCTCAGATCTCTGCAATGGTAGAAATCTCTTGAACTGAATACACCATTTTACTAAAAACAAATTNTACAAGCGTATAACTGTGCACATCTAACCCTCTCAGATCTCTGCAATGGTAGAAATTTCGTGAACTGAATACACCATTTTACTAAAAACAGAGTCCTATTTAGTCGCAAGAATCGTCCCCTTCAAAGACCATTATGAAATGATAAGATATAGATGTTTGGATGAATATGACAAAGTTCTAGACGGAAAAAAAGATGATGAATTGAGATCTTCTTGAATACGTCTGTGTAAACTTTTTTCAAGAGTAAATCATTTGATATGAATTAAAGCGACTTTATTTAACACTGTAATTTCAGAGGCCATGGGCATACCTCTGTTGAGTTCGGGGTCACTTTCTCATTTTAAAAAATTAAACATACCATGTTGTAACTTATAACTTTTCGCGTGTGAGAAGATCATATGTCGATGATATTAATAATTAATTATAAAATGTCATATAGACTTAATAGATCTTAATTGTTTTCATAATGTTTAATAATTACCATATTTAATAATTATCACGTTCAATTAGTAAAGTTTATCGATGTTTTATCATTCATGGATAACAACTTTTTGGGGTCAAATTATGAAAAAAAAAAATTGACTAAATAAAAATAAAAGGTGGAAGCAAATGAGAGCATTCAAAACTATTCTGATAAGCCCTCACTAGTGGAATAATGAGGTCATGACTGCGTCTGTTACTTTTTCAGAAATGAACTTAGGTAGACTAGTANTTTTCATAATGTTTAATAATTACCATATTTAATAATTATCACGTTCAATTAGTAAAGTTTATCGATGTTTTATCATTCATGGATAATAATTTTTTGGGGTCAAATTATGAAAAAAAAAAAATTGACTAAATAAAAATAAAAGGTGGAAGCAAATGAGAGCATCCAAAACTATTCTGATAAGTCCTCACTGGTGGAATAATGAGGTCATGACTGTGTCTGTTACTCTTTCAGAAATGAACTTAGGTATGCTAGGANACTATTCTGATAAGCCCTCACTAGTGGAATAATGAGGTCATGACTGCGTCTGTTACTTTTTCAGAAATGAACTTAGGTAGACTAGTATGTCAATCATCGAGTTCTAATATGAACAAATCTCTTATTAATATCTTAATTTTGATATAGATATTCTATATTTAACCAAAATAAAAAAAAAAACAATTAAAATATTCGTAAGTTAACCCGACTAAACCCTTAAATTAAAACAAATATGAAGAATAACGAGAGAAGTTAGACCAAACGGGACCTTTGTATCCAACCACAATTACTGAGTTGCACGCGTCAGCAGTCTGGTGAATGCCCCGTCGGTTCTAGACGTTTCGGGTGATAGAATGTAGTACCCTCTCGAACTTTCCCTTTAAGCCCTTCAAATTTCCCAAAATTTTCTCTAGATTCCTGGCAACAAATCAACCCCTTGGCGATACCCTCTGCACCTTCTTGCTGCAATCTCTAGAAATTTCACTCGGTTNAGAAGTTAGACCAAACGGGACCTTTGTATCCAACCACAATTACTGAGTTGCACGCGTCAGCAGTCTGGTGAATGCCCCGTCGGTTCTAGATGTTTCGGGTGATAGAATGTAGTACCCTCTCGAACTTTCCCTTTAAGCCCTTCAAATTTCCCAAAATTTTCTCCAGATTCCTGGCAACAAATCAACCCCTTGGCGATACCCTCTGCACCTTCTTGCTGCAATCTCTAGAACTTTCACTCGGCTTCTCTGGCACCGTTCGAATACAAGGCAGAGGTAAGAATGAATACTGGGTCAATTAGAGGATCACTGTAACAAATTTTCTTGCATAAAGTATTATACTACGTTTGGGATCACTGTCCTCTGTTTGGTACGTTAGAAACTATATAGTAAGAGAGGAGAATATGCAGGAATCTTTCTTGGGCAAGTAATTAAACCCAAACCCTTCACCTTAGATTTTATGANTCAATTAGAGGATCACTGTAACAAATTTTCTTGCATAAAGTATTATACTACGTTTGGGATCACTGTCCTCTGTTTGGTACGTTAGAAACTATATAGTAAGAGAGGAGAATATGCAGGAATCTTTCTTGGGCAAGTAATTAAACCCAAACCCTTCACCTAGGTTTAATTTTCTTTTTGCAAGTGTTTTCTCACCAATCAAACTGGGGAATTGCATTGGGGTCTCATACGTTAAATGCATAAAAGTACTCAGATAATTTTTGTTTTGTTTTGTTTTGCTTTCTGGAGATGGGTTTGTTTTGCTAACTGTTTGATGATTTTACAGAGTCTGTGCTTGTAGTTTGAGATAGTAGACGAAGATGAGTACAGTTTTGGATGTTGTGAGCCAAATTCTCAACTTCCCACAAAATGATGAGAAACTGAAGATCCATTCGAAGTCTCGTGAAACCCATGAAACCAAGGATGTGACTAGCAATAGCATCATCCCGGTGGACATCCTTAGTACCCCCAAGGAGTATGTTTTCTACCTCGATGTTCCTGGCTTATCCAAATCTGACATTCAGGTATCCTTTTAACTCACTTTCTGTCGTATATAATTAATTTTCCAACTGAGATTTCTCTTTTGTTTCATCCTTGTTGTCGGCAGAATGGGATCAGATGGGAATGGTATCCTATCAGATTCAATGATATAAACGAAATGCTACACAGAAGTAGAAATTGGGCTTGCGTCGGGAACATTGATGAGCTTGACATTGCTATTTTTATTTGTTGTAGGTGACGGTGGAAGATGAGAACACACTGGTGATCCGAAGTAACGGGAAGAGGAAGCGTGAGGATGGGGCGGACGAGGGATGCAAGTACATTAGGCTTGAGAGGAGGCCACCTCAAAACTTACTGAGGAAGTTCCGATTGCCTGAGAATTGTAATCCGTCGGCAATTACTGCCAAATGTGAAAATGGGGTGCTGACGGTGTTTGTAGAGAAGCTGCCTCCACCACCCAAGTCCAAGACTGTTGAAGTTGCAATCTCCTAGAGTAAGGAGGAGGGTCTTGAGATGAAATGCTCTTTTTGTTGTGCACTGCCCAGAATGATTGACTGTAGATACTCTCTCCTCAGTAGTCTGCTGGTTGTAGTAGTAGTGTAGTATTCTGCTGTTTTGTTCCTTTTAGTTGTGGAGGAAGCAATGCAATGTGAGAAGTGCAGGGATTATAGATGCTATTCTCTATGTTTTTTCCCCGCGTTTAATTCCGTTAGCCCCAACGAGCACCATTGCATATGCAATTTGAAATATTAAGAGTCAAATTTATTCCATTTGTAAGTTACAAGACAACTATGTTACTGGATTGTGGTCGAGTTTAAGTTAGTAAATGATGAAAGAAAATAGGATTTGAATTCTTCAGATCTTCCATTGATGTTTGTGTGTGTATAAGCTTGTTATTCGTGTTAGGTGAAACATTTTCGAAAAACGGATTTGTGTTTCACTCATTAGANTGAAATATTAAGAGTCAAATTTATTCCATTTGTAAGTTACAAGACAACTATGTTACGGGATTGTGGTCGAGTTTAAGTTAGTAAATGATGAAAGAAAATAGGATTTGAATTCTTCAGATGTTCCATTGATGTTTGTGTGTGTATAAGCTTGTTATTCGTGTTAGGTGAAACATTTTCGAAAAACGAATTTGTGTTAAAAAATATTTCACTCATTAGATTTGCTTATTAATTCATGTCTAATAAGTTATGTCATGTCAAATTTATATCATCCATTCTAGATTCACTCGTTTATGAAATAGATTGTTCAAAAAATACCAAAATTTTTTAACTTCGTATTGTGTGGTGTCATGTTAGTGAATCGCATCATATTTTGATACCGCATGAGAGAGAGAGAGAGAGAGAGAGAGAGAGAGAGAGAGAGAGAGAGCAAAATCATCCGGACGCTTATAACATGCACTACTTGGATGGTGAACAAAAATCTAAAGGAAAAATGTATAGTTTTTTAGTTGATCCAAAAGAAAAGAAAGAAAACAGGACAACACACGGGTTTCCAGCAGCTTGTGTGTGTACATTTCCCTGCCACTTAAACATTAACAATGATATAAATTATATCAGGAGGAATCTAAATTCAACTTTCTCCTATGTTAATCTAGCAGACATAAGAGTACAATCTAGTATCAAAATTTATAAGTCAATCGAAACAATGAGGATTCAAAACTCTTATCATGAACAATGTTCATGACATGGGCAGGTATAAAGGCAAATGTAAAACTCACTTCGACGCCTTTCTCTTCTTTTTGGATTTAAACTTTTTTTCTTCTGCAGATCTGCTTTTCGGTGGCCTCTCCTTGTTCAACAGATGCTCATAATCCTCAAGACTTGCAAATGGGGATGCGACAAGTCCTTTGGATTTCCTTTTCCTCTTCTTCCCATCATATGTATCCCCTACATTATTCCCGTCACCTACAATTCCTATATCATCATCAGCTGCAGCAGCATCGTCGCTGTCATTCTGGTTAACATCATCATCTTCTCCTTCACCAATGCCCAAAGGCAAGTCCATCTCTTCATCACTTACATTACCAACCAAGTCGTCATCGTCTTCATTAGCAATTTGGTCCAAATCATCATAATCATAATCCCCATCTGCCTCCAAGAAAGGATTAGCAGAGTCCAATATGCTGTCGATTTCTTCATTGTCACTTTCATCCTCACCATCCACTGCAAACAACTCTTCAGCAGCCTCATCCTCTGCTCCTTTCTTCTTTTTCTTCTTTGGCTTCTTTGAGGAACTCATTTTATTCATGTAAAACTTGTGGAACACGAGATCTTCTGGGGGTACATCCATTTCAGCCAAAGAAAGAATCTCTGCCCCAATCAACTGGTTGTTCATGTCGAGCTGGATCAAAAGACAAATGAAAAAGCGTGAGTAGGCAGTTTGACAAGGCAGAATACTGGAGCTCTGCACCTAGGGAAAATGCCTCATATTTAAGCCATAGAATCAACTTGTATATGACTCGCTCCAAGAGTCCAAATGCCTTAAAAAGGCTCTTGTGAGTCAATTTTCCAACGAATTCCTTCCCTCTATTTAGTTTTCTGAGGTGAAGGTCAAATTAGGAGCATAAACATTAACTTCCAATCATCTGGTTGGGTTGGGTTTTTTTTAATATCTTTTTTTTTTTTT